GAGACAAGTTGTTGAATATACAAGGCGAGAAATAAATATAAGAAGAAAGCAAGAGAACAAGAGCTAAACGAAGACCAAGAACGAAGACCTTAGTCTTAGTATCGTTGAGTCGGTCACAATGTGATCAAGACCGACCCAAGCTTTGCACTTTGGCTCTTTAGGCTAAAACATTTTTTATTGCATTTTACATATCATAAAAATTATTTTCAAACATGATTAAACATATTAAAAACACTTGGTGTTCGCCCAAACCAAAAACCAAGCCATCCGGCGTTCGGCTTTTGGAAACCGGCATTCGGCATTTGGTTATCGGCGTTGGTTTTTGGCGTCCGAACCAACCAAGTGGTTTTCAACTTTTTATGATTGGTTTTTACTTCTGGGCACATTTAAATAGTTTTCGATCAAAAACAATTCAAAAACCACCTTTCGTTTTTTGTCGTTTGATAAAAACCATGCGAAACGGCATAAACTTGGCTAGCCGTGGTTTTTACTTAAATGAAGTGGTTTTCGAGTCTTTTTGTGTGGAAATTGTTTTTGAATGCATTACAATGGTTCTCCAATCAAAACATCATGAAAACCACCTTTCGGTTTTGTCCTTTGGTAAAAACCACCCGTGTACGGCATTGACTTGGTCAACTATGGTTTTTACCTTAACGACGTGGTTTTCAACTTACAAAGCTTGTTTTGACATCACAATACATTAAATAAGTGTTTTAAACACTTAGTTTTTACTTTGGAGAACTTTGCATTTTTTGGTCGGGTTTCAGCACCGGTCGGCTAAGCCATGGTTCTGGACTAGCCATCTACCCAGCGATGGTAGATTTCACCCATGCATGGGTAAGTGATCCCGGGATTCCAGAATCATGCCACCCAGCGATGGGAAGATCTTCCCATCGATGGGTAAGCAGTCCCTCAGCGAAACTGTTTTCCAGAACCATGCCAAACAGCGATGGGAAGTTCTACCCATCGCTGTTTAAGCCTTGGTCCAACATTTTCACAGGCAGAATGCCTTTACCCAGCGATGGGAACCTTTACCCATCGATGGGAACCCAGCAATGGGAGGGCATACCCATGGCTGGTTAGGCATGACCGTTGGAAGTCATTTAAGGTTGATTCTTTCTTTGTTTGGAAGTCAACCTCCCACCCAGCGATGGGAAGCTTGTACCCATCGATGGGTAGGTAACCGTTGGCTTCAAAACTGAAGGAAAATTGGCTTACCAGCGATGGGTAAGTTCCAAACATCGATGGGAAGCCAATATCTTGCAGATCCCAAATTTATTCAATCCCATAAATCAAGCCAATCACCCCTTTAATGTATTGGTCCGTTGGAGCCTATTTTGGCACTATAAAAAGGGGTGTTTGGGTCTGCTTTA